ACAGCAAAGTGCCAAGAAGCTCACTATGGATTCCATCCCAAAATAACACCCGTCTGCTCTGTGAAACTATTAAAGCTAGGGATCATGGGACATTTTCCATGTAATTTCTTTATTATTAATTTGGCAACTGTTCTGCTTTCTCATAAGCTTGCCCATTCTGCCGCCTTAGCACTCCCCCTCCCTCCTCTCTCCAATGTCTGAAGCACTAAAGCAAAATAAATAGAGCGCCACACGCTGCCCTCTGTTACACGCATATCACCACACGAGTCCAAGGAGGCTGCATCAAGACATATGAGGACAGACGATAGCCAATAGTGCCTACAAAGCTACCTCATTTACACTTACATGAAAATACCACACATCTCTGATGATTTTCAGATTGGTAAGGATTTTTTTCTCATTTGCCACCTCAGTGCACTGAATTTTAAAGAGACTTTATATACAGCTACCCAAATAGATAAACAGTTTCAAACCTCACAGCCTAGTATATAACATTTCCACCTGCTAGTAATTGCTGATGATCCAGTACCAAAACTAAAACTAAATTAGCAGTGAACAGCCTGGAGTTTCAAAACTTGAACAAACTAAACCACATCTTGAACCCTCGAAATCAAGACAACCAATTGGTAATCCTTTTGCTTTGTCATTATTAAAGTATATACCTCTTTTTTTCCACCCAGGATCTCAGTGTATATAAGCAGTTTAAATCGCTTAACTCAGATTACCACCATAAGATGCTCTGAAGCACAAAACTATGAACCAACTTATTCAGCAGTCTATGACCAGTCAGCAGGATAATTAGGATTAGGAATCACGATGCCACATCCCCTGCATTAGCCAGTAAACAACAGAGCAAGAAAACAAACAACAGAAACCCCACGTTCAGGATGAGAAGTCTCAAATTACTCTGACGCAAAATGGTTAAAGCATCCCAAAGTCTGTATGTTTAACAAAAATGCCATTTCAGCCTTACTGCCCTGTTTAACCAAAAACAGAATAAATGAATATAAATGCAAATACCTGTTTCCTGGATCTTGGTAACTGTCAGTAACAAGAGTGGATGGAACACCAACTTTTTCCATTATTTGCTTTAACTAGATGTGGTTGCTATTTAAACCCTAAAGAGCTATGTGAGATAATCCAGAGAGTGCCTAGAAGTGCTCACTCCAAGTTAAAAAATAGACACTAGGGCAATTTGGTGGCTCAGAGTCAACCTAGTTCTTGCCTAATTACAATCACGTTAAATGACAGTACTCCTCCAGAACAAATGATCTAGTGATTATCCTCTACCCGGAAAAGTCAACAAGCAGTGCATGAGGGAGGTGGCCTCACAACCACACACACTAAGGAAAAGCCACCTATCAACTACACATCCATTTTATTTCCGAATTCAAATGTATGTTGCCAATAGCATAGTACTGCAGTATCCTCTTACCAGTGACCTCTGCTAGAGAATGAATAACATCTAGCTTGTATATTAATTCATCTCTAGACCTCACCTCCAACAGGCGCCAACAATGTTGTATAACGAGGTTCATGGCCGACAGTAACACTACCTAACTGAAAGCCTTAGTTAAAGTCATCAGAAATACCCTGAAGATAAATCCCCACCACTTCTCCTCCCCTACAGATTTTTCTGATTCTTGATGCTGCTTTTACAGCCTCTCTGCAGCACAGTATATATGTTCACATTCACAAGGTTTGCTTACTTCATCAGTAACCTCAATACTCAATTTCTCAGGCAACTATACAAGCTGATCCAAACACCAAGCAAAACTTCTGGGAGGAAAACAGCTATGAGAGGAAAACAGCTATAAATATTTGATTTTGAACATTCTTGCCTATGGCATTTAGACACAGATATAGTCATCGTAGTCTGAGTCAGTCTGCATTACACCAGTTAAACCAGTCTCAGCTGGGATTACTGCCAACAATGTTGTATGTTGAACATCCATCCATCAAGTATGATACAATAAGTGCTACACCTGCAAAAACACATTCCTAGTAAGAACAACCACAGTAAAATATGACTATTGGAGCTAACTTTTTTAATAAAGTTTTTGGAAAGTTTCATGCTCACGAGAACATTATTTTTGTTTTTTAAGGTAAATATTTTGCTTATATTGGAAACTTCTCCCCTTATTTTATGCTGCTTCAAAATTTACAATTCAAGCATATCAAATCTAGCATAGTTCACCAGAAACTTAAAACAATTGGTGAAGGTACCTCCACTGATACTTAGGTAAGCATGAAGTAAGCAAACAGTGAAAAAAGTTTATAAAACCCCACACTTCAGAAAACCACGCATTACTAGAAGCATTTAGAAAATCCTAATGAATGACTAAGCCTGACACTGCTATCAAAAGACAGCCCCAATTATGCTCATCTGTAAATGCTGCCAAGCTCCTCCAGTCTTCCAGGACTGTGTCCATAAAATCATCGGGACCAGCTTTAAGGTAAAACCAAAAAATAACAGTTTTAAATTCAGTGTTCTTTTTCACTGTTTTTGTTTCTAAGTCACTTTAGATCCATGTTTTCAAGGGTTTTTCCTTTAGCTGCTAGAGTAGGAATAAAAAGAGACAGAAGAAATGAGAGAGATTGGAAGAGAAAGAAAATGGAAGAGAAAGAAAAAGGAAGAGAAAGAAAAGAATCTTCACAATGAATGCCTTGTCTTTCACATTTCTCTTTTCATAAAATTTATAGTGCTTTAGCAATATCCAAGAGTCAGAGCATGCTTAGACCTCACTGAAACAAATTTACATCCTAGAACTGATGGCTGTGACAAGCACACATTTTCCACATCTGAACAATTATTAAAATACTAAAAAATACAATACTAAACAACAAGAGTGAAAAACCTCAGTCCTTCTCTGTCCTTAAATCTTAAAGTCGTTCCCTGAATCTGCACTTACCTTTTAAGTAACATCACATCTGTTAACATTGAGATCACAAAACCCACCAGAAATAGAAATCTGACAACACTGCCTCTGGAATGAGGTTGTTTCAGATTCTTACAACACTAGATTATCAAAATAACTCCCATGAAACTGGTACACCAAAGCCATTAATAGCACAGATTTATACTACAGTCTTGGCATTGGGTTCTCTCATCCTCTCCCGTTCCCTCCCTCTCTCTCATTCCCTCCCTCCCTCTCTTTTTAAAACAGGATAGTAGTTTCAAAAAAAAAATAAAATAGTGTCTCCCTTCAATGTATTTCCAGTGTCATGCTTTCCATGAAAATCTGAAGTGCTAGCAACATTTCTGCTCAGTATGCTTTGAATAAGAGATTTCTAGATTCTAAAAAAGGGCACTTACACTGTACCACAGACTAATTTTGGACTACCAATCCCAGCTCCTACTGGGAAAACCCTCCTTTATATGAGTAAACTCTCATCTTCCATAGGGAAATTCTTTCTGAAAGTAAAGACTTCTTACATAAGCAAGGTAAATACGATGAGGACTTGAATGTGTGTGCTCTTAAAGATAAGTACTGCTTCCTTTGGATCTTGTACAACATTTAGCAGACTGTCAGCACCTAACCATAACAAATGTTGAGGAAATACTTAAGCAAAAAAAAAAGGCCTTACTCTGACTTTATTTCCATCAGTTTACATCAGGAGTAACACAACTAAAATAATATGTAAAATTATGACACAAAGGTAAACCTGTCAACGACTTCAACAAGGTGAAGACTTTGCCAGGGAATGGTATAAAATCCCTCTCTTTTTACATGATATATATATAGTGACATTCATTAGATGTTTCTATGTCTGACAAACCACTTGACACAGGGAGACCCAAATAATGCCATCATATAAGACATGTGTCCAAACATACTCATTGGAAATTGGAAAGCTTCAGAAATTCATCACAGGATCCATTCCTTATCCTCAGACATTGCACCCTGCACACCTGGTCTATCATATGATGCTAAGGCGGTTTTCTCAAATTATATTCCATTTGGAGAATCAAAAGATATCTAACACTTCCAAGCACTTCCTCAGAAATACCACCGTATATGAATCACAAATGCAATGTGGCATTTAAGCATGAGGTTGGGAAGCTTGACTTCTTTTTCTGTTTCTATATCAGACATATGCTGCTGAATATACTCTGATAATCATACTGCATGACTTCCCAAATTAAACAAGCTAAACTTTGAAGATACACCTCCCACAAACAAAATACTGACAATTACTCGATGCTGTTGTTTTTAGCTCCATAACAGTCCAGACATCTGACAAGGATACAGACGGCATCCATCTTTTATGCTCTATACCTGGAATGTTGGGAGCTGTGGGCTAAATTCTTGGCTCAACCAAACCTCCAATGGGATCTTGTGAAAACAAGTTAGTGTCTGTACTTTGATTCCCAAACCATAAGAGTGATAACATTTCTTTTATTCTGTACTCTATCTTGTTTATTTACACTGTAGTTGTTTTACAGCAAAGCTGGGTTTAAGCACACCTACCACAGAAAGGAGGCTGAGATCCTGCCTAGTGATTCTACGTGTTCCTGTGGCGCACACAATTTAGCGTACCAGACATAATTCTCAAACACTTAATTTCTGATTCCATTTGATTTCCTCCTTATTTGTACTTGTGCATTCCAGTGTCTATGGCTATGCCCTCCCAGCATGCACTCCAACAATTACTGTAACAGTTCTGCTGATGAGTATTTCTTGACTTGAAAGCTTCTAACTTTCAAGTCAAGAAATAATCAACAAAATCCAATTTGGATTAATCTTTCATTAAGAAAGCTTTATGAAAGCACATCCTCACTCACCCTAGTACATGTATCTCAAGTCCACCGTTTGTGAATTCCTGCAGGCCAATATTGTGCTATCTTCTAAGTTCCCTTCTACTAACGCTTCTGCAAGGAAGGTAAGAACGACCTTTCTGGTTTATCAACAAGCAAAACCCAAGAAATGTGTTTTTTATGCTTAGGTTATTTCCCTGTGTCTCAGCACTTTAGTTTTGGGGTTACATGAACAACTTACCGGTGATAGGCTTCCCGGCGGTACTTTTTCAGGGCATGCCCATCCATGTTTGCAGGGAGATCGGCTGCATTCTGGAGTCGGTCGCTCCATGAGGTTGTCATCTTCAAATGCTTATTTATTTCTGAAAGAGACAGAAAAGAAAAGCTTGCTTAAGTTCAAGGTTTGTTTCACCAGAAAGTTGTCTGTTTCCTGGTATGAAAAGATGCAACGCCACTCAGGAAGTCTTGCAAAGCACCCAGTGGAATGATCTGAGTTTGCATGTCAAGTAAGATGCTTTTCTCCAAGAAGTTTGATGAGATAGAGTGTTAAAACAGAGAGCTGGGAAGGCTTTTCCACATGGCTGGAACTGCAAAGACACTCCTACCCATTGTGGTGAAAATGCACTTAGAGACCTTGCTTTCATTGCTGAAAAGAGGTAAGTTTTGATCCTAGAGTTACTAACGTGCACTAGCTAAAGGTGATGGAAACCCTGCCCTTTATACATGAGAAAAATTAGGCAGAGCAAAACCCAAAAACCCCAGTGGGACTGACCTTGCCACTTTTACCACACAGTAAAAATAGAGCCTTGTCCCTGGCCACCTGATGTCTAAGAAAGACAAAACTCCAAACTGATGCTAAATTAGCAGAAACAATTGGAAAGAAAGTAGAAAGATGATCCTTTGTCCTCTGCAGGACAGCCACGTTAAAACAGAGCAAGAACACACTGCAAACCTGTAACGCCAGCAGTGCAATCACCAGCAGATTCATTTAATCAGCAGATCTTCACAAACATCTGCACCCCTTCACAAGTACTGCTTGTCAAAAGCAAACCACCAGACAGTCCTTCTCATCAGGAAGGCCCTGCAGTGAGGAAACAGGGGTACCTTTCCCAGTTGTGTTATTAACACACTGGGGCAATCCTGCTTGCCCCCCACTTTCAGCCAGATGCGTATCCTGCTGTGTCCCTGGCACCAGGTGGGATGATGAAGTAGCCACACGGTGAATCAATTCAGCTCACAAGTCCAAGTCCTCCCCCATCAAAATGAATGGATGAAAAGCAAACAAAGCCTGGGTAATTCTCCACTAGTCAGCATGCTGAACCCAGCTCAGCCTACCACAATGGTATCATTACAGCCAGTGTGAAGAACAGGGTGGGAGACGCATCCCACAGTTAATACCAAATTAGGTATAACATGAAACCACATTCTTGTGTAACCCACACAACTGCTGGACCACAGGGCCTGACTTGTTTGCTCTTCCTTAAAAGAAACAAAACCACTCACAAGAGACACGGGTAATGACACAGACATCATTTTTAGACACCTTTTAAATAAGACTGCCCTCTTTACAACAGGGAAACTAGATGATTTCATCAAAGTAGAGAGTTGAGCGAGTGTCCAGACAAGCATCAGAAGTCACAGCACTTTCAGCGGCCACACATGTGCTCACTAGAGGAAACTGGTATACTTTTTTAGTTTTAAATTTGATTAAAGAGCAACAGTTGCAATTATCACAGCATGTTAGTCTATTTACCTACTAGTTGCTGGTCATAAAAATCAAACAGACGGCAAACAGCTTGCCTGTAAATCCTCCCTCCTCCAGCATTCTCTTCTTGTCTCCCAGTTACTATAACCAAGGTTTACAAATGCACCTTCTGCCACATCCTAAAGGTCACAAAATTCAGGCCCTGGCAGGCAGCCCAAGGGACTGCATGCCAGAGCTGAGAGCTCTCCCCCTCCAAATTCCCTGCAACACACCCAGGAGAGGAGGTCACCACAGCGCAAGGGTGATGGGCCATTCCAGCCAGCCACAACTTCCACAACAGGGCATGCAGGGAGAAGCAGCTTCTAAAATAGCCCAGGCCACTGCCACCAAGGGCTTGTAAGTAATTATCAATTACATAAGCCATGGCCAAAGGCAGATGGAAGGCAGAACACGGCACAGAACTAAACAGCTCCCAGGCATCAACCTGTTTCACTTCAAAGGCAGGGCACTGCCCGCAGCCATGCTGTTTATGGCAGAAATGGCTGCAGCAGCCCTTGGGAGAGGAGCAGTGCCTGTGTAGGAGTGACAAAGTCCAGGTCAGCAGCCAAGAGACATGTAGCACAGTGAAGGATCTGGTATAACCCCAAGACAAAAAACTACAGGAAGGGCTTGTGCCCCCAGAGGCTGGAAAAGCATCTACCCCTTGGATATCTCAAAATAGTTCAGATCATCACCAACTTGGTCTTACCTGGAGCTATTTCAAAGCTACTGACCTAGAGCTACAGATTCAGATCCAAAAGATGTATACATTTAAGGCCTCTAAAAGGCATGTTAAATAGTTCTGAAAAAACTATTGCATGGCTGGTTTTATGATTCTTAAGACAGCTCTGGGTCTTCTAGGTCTTCCAGCTGAAACAAGTCCAAATCCAAGCTTCCTGTCATTTAGGAGGGCTACACTATTCTGCTTACCCAGCCAGCCACATAGCAAGACTGAAAGATTTACACCTGCAGCCAAAGCCAGACTCAGTTCTGCCAGCCTCTTCTTCCCACTTCATCTGCTTCCCATCACCATCACACCACATCAGAAATGCTGACACAGGTACTTAGGAGAGAACTGCTCCCAGCAGCCATCCATGCCAGATATCTGATAGTTCACCAGCAGTATCCTACAAAATACACTAAGATCCAGATGGTAGAAGAATTTTAGCAGGCTATCTTTTATAACATCCTTTCTGAAATAAGGAACTGGCGTAGCTGCTGGAGCGCCTATATGATGAAACCCTCCTCTAAAGTGGGAGAAACCAGACAGCATCATTCTGTGTGTGCTGGGATTCAAAAAGCTGAGATGTGAGGAAACCAGAAGAATCTGAGTTTCCATAATAAGCAAGAAAGGCCTGCATTATCTTAATGATCCAGCAGTACTTTGCTGTAGCTGTGATGGACAAAGTTCATAAGCAGGACAAGGTTTGTAGACAGAGGCAGTATCTTTTATTAGACCAACTGGTATGGCTGGAAAAAAACAGATGAGACCTTGGACACACAAGCATGTCTAAGTTTTCAAACTCTGTCGGTTGCTCTAATAAAAGATATTACTTCTGCCCTGATTTATTTTTCAAAATCTTTCTCTTGATGTTCACACAGCATAAACCAAAAAAATCTTATGCTGAAATTTTCTATTACATGAACTCAAAGGCTTAGCCTTACAGCTTAGCAGGCTCCACTGGCACTGTGACAATAGTTTACTGCTCTGAAATAAAACAGTAACAACTGACAAAAGATATTGTGATGGATGTTCTCCACCCAGAAGTCTTACTCACACAAAACATCCCACAGACTTCAATGAAATTGTTCTGATGCTTCAAAAGTGTGAAGATGAGCCTACCTGCGTGGGTAAGAGACTTGGGACCTGATCCCTGGATATAAATTCCTCTTCTAAGTAGAGAGCACAAAATAAGAAGGGCTGAATAACTCCATACACTTGTAAGCCACCGGGATAAACATCTAAGAGAGCAGGCAGCCAGCCAGGCAAGATTCTCAACTCCGAGCAAGTGAAATCCGATGCATCTTTCTTTAGTTTCAAATCTATTTTTGAAATCAATAATCTGTAAATAGCTTCACATAAAAATAGAAATCTTTACACAGATAAAACATGCCAGAACACCTCCCCATAATTTACTGCAAACATGCTCCTTGATAGTGCAGTCTTAATTAAGCATCTGATAGCATTTATAGTACAGGGTTCATTTTGACCAAGTATTTAAAATGTCAGCTTCAAAGCTTTGATACAGAGCTACTATCAAGCACATATGCTTTGGTCCAAAAGAACATGAGATTTTTAGCACATATTTTGAAATAAGGCCATTTGCTTCTTTTGTCAGATTTTGGCTGATTTCAAGTATTATCTGCAGTACACTTTTTCCAGGTACTCATACATATAAAATAACATGTCCAGAAGCACTCCCCTTCAAGTTTTACTATTATTTTTCATATCTTTCTTGGCCAACAGTTAGTTAGAAAATTCTGCACTTGATGTGTTCAGCTTAAATGCACTCCCTCTATTTTTTCTGAGTTTAACACTTTGATGATGCAATGCCAAATCAGAGGCACACACACTAAAATGTAAAGATGAACAAAATAGCAGTGACAATCCCACTTTTTTCCAGGATATTCTCTGAGAGCTATATAGCAGAAAACAAAAGCATTGCTAACCAATCCCAAGGTTGTAGCGTACTCATGCTGATTTGCCATGCACTACATCTGCCTCTTCTCACACGTTCTGCTTCAAGAATCATTAATAACTTGTCAGTACGACCCACACATGTACGTGCACAGTGGAAAGTGAATAGAGAGAAAAATCATCATACCTAACATTAGCTACTTAAAAGCTTTGCGTCTAGTCAGAGGCTGTGGGTGTACAGACAAGTCTTGTGGTGCTTTTGCCAAACCTACGGCAGTTCCTGGCTCCCCACTGCTCCATCTCAAGGGGCTATGTGGTGTCTCATCAAGGGAAGAGTAAAGCATGTTCTTTATAACTCAGAACTACAGGTCCTAGATGTACAGAGAAGTCAGTATGATCACAGAATTCAGAAGTACCATCAAAACACATTGGAAAACAGGACAAACTGCTCCTTGAGCTCCTACCAGCACAATGTGAAAAAAGTCTTGTGATAAATGAGCTTGCTGAATTTGGTGGAGGTCCCACTATTGGAGAGCTAAGGACAATAAAAAGGACATTTTCTAAAATCCTCTCAAGACACCTGAGGCACCACTGAACAGAGATGAAGAATAATGCAGAAGAGGTAGAATTCTTCAAGAAATGGCTCTAGTTTGCATTTTTTAAAAAAGGATGATAGTTTGTTAATCCCTTGATGATAACAAAGCATAGCCCATTCAGTTTGCTACCAACGAGAATGTTAAACGAAATGGAGATGAACACATTTAACCATCCAGTCTGATAAAGTCTCCTCAGGAATCCTAACATAATCAGCTGCATACATTCTAGGCTACATTAGCTTTACCTGATGGGAAACCTAGGAAATGCACTGCAGATGACAACACTGGATTCAGTTAATGAAGAACTAGAAGCCAAAAATATAGTAAGTCTTGGTCAAGGCATCAGTTACAATGGGTATCTAGATCACGTCTACAAAT